TACCACTTGAGCCACAGCGCCACTTCCGGCTTTTTTCTTTTTGCTTATGTGGTGCTGAGGAATCGAACCCACGGCCTCAGGCATGCAAGGCAAGCACTCTACCACTGAGCCACCTTCCCAGCCCCCCAGAGTGATAAATTTAATGTGCATATATATCCTTTGTCTTCACTGCCTTCTTAAATCTCCCCTCCCATGTCAAGACTTCCATTGCCTTTGTAATACAATTCTTACCTGTCCTGGTCCCTTGAACTTTATTTCCTACCAATTTCTTCTTCATTCCCTATCAGCCACAATAGCTGTACTGTCTTTCTTGTAAATTCTCATCTTACTCAGACTTTCAACACAGTACATCTTTACCATATCATAGTTTCCTGGTCTCCTGCTACCTTCTATAACATTCCCTCTCAGTTTCCTTTGGTGATTTATTTTTATTTTGCTGTTCCCCAGATTTACATTGCTGAGTCCTTTATCTCAGTGATCATATGGTTTCAATATACTTTTTATACACTAGTAACTCTTAAGACCTCATCCCTATCTTGAACTTTAAATTCTTTCTCATTGGACATCTCAATATCAAACTCACCAAGTCCTACACAGAACCATTACTAACTCTCACACTCCCTTTTGGTGCTTCTCTTTATAAGAAGAGAAGCATCTCATGGGCTACTGAGACATCTAAGCTTGAAATCTGATAGTGATTATCAGATCCTTACTCTGTACTCTGGCATCTGAGTCCTTATCAAGCTCTATGGCTTCTAGAGAGAAGCAGGGGTTAAAGATACATATCTTTAAAGATACATATGTTAAAATACATATCAAGGGACTTGTCTATCACCGTCAGAGTTGAGATGGGGTCTTTCTGCACCTGAATGGGGAGGGGTCCAGAGATCCAACCCTGCCATTTTCTACTTTGCTCATCTTCTACACAACTACAAAGAGCTGCCTTCCCCAGTTCTTAACTTCTTTTGGAAATCAAACCGAAAATGGGACAGGTCTAGAGGAAACGATGCTTTGTAGAGCTGCTTTCTTTGGTTAAAGAGACCTGAAAATTCTTTAAGTTCTAAGCCCAGCTCAGCAGGAGTACACATTTCTGTTGGAATAGAAAACAAACTCCTTGTTTTAGAAAAGCTATTATTTGATCGCTGGATAGCTTTTTATCAGGGGTTGCTGAATGAGGAGTCTTGGGTCACAGTGTACTTTGAAACTGGCTCTCACAGAGGAAGAGGTCCTGTTTTGTAGGATTTTCTGGTTTTGTGGTATAAGAACTGCCACCATTGCCAGGGTTGTTAGTCAACAGTGAGTTGGGAAGAGAACTGAGCTTTGAGTCCTTGCCTTTTATTTCCTCATCATTTCAAAATTTCCAACACTTACTGAATAGCTGGGATCACAGGCATGTACTGTCATACCTTGACTCTGTATTTTGTTTTTAA